ATATTGAATATGAGGAATTTCATGGATATAAAAGAACAGTTAAAGTCAGATAGGTTTATATTTCTGAATAGTAATAAAAGACTCAACATACTCAGTTTGAACTTTTCCAAAATTATGTCCTATATTTGTATTCTCTTAAAACAGGGGAGCTATAATTTTGCAACTAGTTTATTAACACTTTGTGCATCCTGACCTAGATGATCCCTAAGGCCTCTTTCAGTTCTAAAGGGCTATGCTATCCTAAGTTATATAACAGTCACTTTAAGTCTCAAAACTTCTTGATATCTTTGCATATTATTAATAACACCTTGATCTCACTTGCAAACCTACAGAGGAAAGTAGCTTTAATTTTCTCCTGCAGTGCAACAGAGAAAATAAAGAGCAAGACTTAAATAATGGTCATGAATGCGACCTAAACTAGAAAACAAGCTGTTATCTCAAAGGGAGAGAAAAATTACTTGTAGCTAATTTATGCTTCCCACCTAAATTCTATAAAAACGGAAACTATTATGTTCAAAAGAAATATAACTATAGGAAAGACACATTGGGGTACATAGGATTATGGGATGTCATTGAAACAAAGTTTCATTCCCAAAAGCAGAAAGTAAAAGTTTCCTCTAAAGTCACTTTCTCTTCAGTCAAAACCAACGATGAATTCAAAGCAAAAATAATAGCCAGACTATGGGGATGCAGAACTAGAAAAACTGCATTTTTATGGCTTACATGTTTTAATTTGATAGGTATCTCTTTAAACAAAAATTTTTAAGACAACACAAACACACAAAGGCCATTAACTTATTGGGGAAAAAAAGGAACATTTACAAGAAAAGTGTATTTAGGGAACGTGGTAGATGAATTTTTTAATAAAAAGAAAAACACTGCATGTACTATTTAAAGTTATAGTATTTTTATTAAATAAATTTTCATTAAATATTTTTTAAATTTCATATTATGCTCAGGTAAGCAACAGTTCTAATAAGCATAAAACAGAATAAGTTCAAAGAGAAAGCTAATAATAGTGGAGGAAAAAAGAGGAAGAAAAGAAAACAAAGATGGAAGAAATAAGACATAAAGCTAGGGGTTTAAGAGAGATTGGGGGAAAAAAAAACAGAGAGGAATATATAAATAGGCTGAACCACATGAACTATCGGTGATTTAAGGCTGCAACCTGAATACATTTTTGAACATCCCATTGGCTCTTCCACAAGGAACGATTCACAGATCAGCAATTAATTTTAGTATTGCATTTCAATCTTTGAAGAAACAATTAGTCTATACTCTTCAACACTATGATCAGAGCAATGGTTCTTTATAGGATGAGTGTCAAGGGCTCACACAAGCAAACAGAGGTTGCCAGTGAGCTACTCGCCTTGTTTCAGATCATCCACCCAGTTTAAAAGAAACCTGTTCGCACCAAGTAAATTATTTTTAATCACAAATCATCCTACCCTCAATGGTGAATTAAGCCAACTTCTTTTATTTTGTGTCTAGTCACTGGAGTGCTAGAAGACCAGAATCAGGAGGATTCATGCAACTTATATTGGTGATGAGGTCTTCTTGTTGCATTCTCAGTTATAACTTATTTCCAAATTATTTGATTACAGTATCTAATCAGCAAGCAGACCAAGTCCAAGACTCAGCTCAATGTCTTGGATGTGTTTTTCTCCACCATGATTCACCCCTCTGAGCCAGGAGTTAAGAGGTGGGATAGCACATGAAATTTAGGGCAGCACACAACAGTGAACAGGCATCCAAGTATGCTACACAGAGAGCTTTAAGCTTTCTAAAACCCCACATCCAAAGTATTCAGATTACAAATTCAACCACAGCACAAGCAATGATATCGATCCCTGAATCAGAACAAACTGGATATCTTGAGTTGAATGGAGACAGAGTTGAATATTTGAGAATATACAGACATTTGTTAAAGAAAAAGAAGAGAAAGAGCACTTCAGTCAATGTGGGTCAGAAACATGAACAGCCAGAACAGACACGAGAAGATATGAAAATATATGTGTTGAAGAAGCCAAGAATACTCTAATGTGGCTGAAGCAAGACAGAAAGCACCTGTCTGTATATAATATTGTACCACTTGAAATGATAAAGAGTTTAAATGTTATCCCATTATTACTTTTCTATCTTACCATTACCTTTCTATCTGAGCAGCACTGATTTGGCCACTATGTCTTAGTATAACCCAGAGTTTCTCTTTTTTGAAAAGGAGAAAAAAATACTCATTTTCCTCAGTAACTATTGTCACTATGAGTTGTGAAATATAACTGAAAGTAAAGAAGCCAAGTCTCTACTATAGAGCTACAGTAATCAAAACAGTGTGGTATTGGCACAAAAACAGACATACGGGTCAATGGAACAGAACAGAGAGCCCAGAAATAAACCCACACACCTACGGTCAATTCATCTTTGACAAAGGAGGCAAGAACATACAATGGAGAAAAGACAGTCTCTTCAGCAAGTGGTGTTGGGAAAACTGGATAGCAGCATGTGAATCAATGAAGTTAGAACACTCCCTCACACCATACACAAAAATAAACTCAAAATGGTTTAAGACTTAAATACAAGACAAGGTGCTATAAACCTCCTAGAAGAAAACATAGGCAAAACATTATCGGACATAAATCTTAGCAATGTTCTTCTAGAACAGTCTACCCAGGCAACAGAAATAAAAGCAAAAATGAACAAATGGTGCCTAATTAAACTTATAAGCTTTTGCACAGCAAAAGAAACCGTAAGTAAAACACAATGACAACCTAAGGAATGAGAGAAAATATTTACAAATGATGCAACTGACAATGGTTTAATTTCCAGAATATATAAACAGGTCATACAACTTAATAATAAGAAAACAAACAACCTAATCCAAACATGGGCAGAAGACCTAAACAAGCAATTCTCCAATGAAGACATACAAATGGCCAATAGGCACATGAAAAACTGCTCAATATCGCTAATTATCAGATAAATGCAAATCAACTACAATGAGGTATCACCTCACACCAGTCAGAATGGCCATCATTAAAAAGACCACAAACAATAAATGCTGGGTGTGGAGAAAAGGGAACCCTCCTACACTGTTGATGGGAATGTCATTTGGTGCAGCAGTTATGGAAAACAGTATGGAGATTCCTCAAAAGACTGAAAAATAGACTTACCATATGATCCAGCAATCCTGCTCCTGGGCATATATCCAGAGGGAACCTTAATTCAAAAAGATACATGCACCCCAATATTCATAGCAGCACTATTTACAATACCCAAGATATGGAAGCAACCTAAATGTTCATCAATAGATGACTGGATAAAGAAGCTTTGGTATATTTATACAATGGAATACTACTCAGCCATAAAAAAGAATAAAATAATGCCATTTTCAACAACCTGTATGGACCTGTAGATTGTCATTCTAAGTGAAGCAAGCCAGAAAAAGAGAAAAATACCACATGATATCACTCATATGTAGAATCTTAAAAAAAAAAGAAAGAAAGAAAAAAGAGGACACTAATGAACTCACCTACAAAACAGAAACAGACTCGCAGACACAGTAAACAATCTCATGGTTATCCCAGGGGAAAGTGGGTGGGAAGGGATGAATTTGGGGATGTGAGTTTTACAAATGTTAAGCACTATACATAAAACAGATAAACACAAGTTGATACTGTATAGTGCAAGGAATGATATTCAATATCCTGTGGTAACTTATGGTGAAAAAGAATACAAAAATGAATATATGTATATATATGCATGACTGCTTCATATATGAAGCATTATGCTGTGTACCAGAAACCGACACACTGTAACTGACTGTACCTCAATAATAAATAAATAAATAAATAAATAAATAAATAAAGCCAAGTCTGTGAGGAAGGTATGTATGTGGAGAACAAGACAAACAGAAAATAGAGTATGACTGTAAACTTCATGCCCTCCCTCTTAAGGTTCCCAGCAAACTGCAGAGTAGAGTATGTTGCATCAACCAATAAATCCATCCAACAAATGTTTACTAAGGCAAGTACTACTGTGTAATCTTGGTACGTAAAATGAATTAAGTTAACCTCAAATGCACTCTCAATTACTTGGGGAAGAGAAAATCAGATATTGGTGTTAGGACAGAGATGCTAAACTAAGACCTAAAGAAAGCTGGGAGAGGGCAGAATTCTGACTTTAGGTGGATGAATAAGTAGGGAAAGATGGAACCATGGAAAGCTTCACAGGCTGCCAGATATCAGAGCTGAGTATTACAGGATACATAGGAATTTGTTTAAAAGAAGAGAAAGAGCATTTCAGTCAATGTGGGTCAAAAAATGAACAGCCTGAACAAAAGCAAGAGGACATGAAAGTGTATCATGTGTTTAGGAAGCAAAGAGTACTCTAACGTGGCTGAATCAAGACAGAGAGAGGGCAATGGCAATAGAAGACACTGGAGAAGTTAACGTAGAGCCACAAAGAAAGGGGCCTTAGGACAAGAAGCTGAACTTTATTCTGAAAGCAACAGGAAAATACTGATGGTTTTTTAATAAATGGAGGGTGACAAGATCAGATCAATATTTGAGAAAGATAAATTTGGTGATGGTATGAAGGCTAGATTATTGGGGAATGAAGACAGAGTGATAAGGTTCAAAATGATTACAAAAGGGAGTCTTTGAAATCATTAGATCTACTGATTATAAACCTTAATTCCCCTTCCATCTAGGTAACACTGTTTTATGAGCTTAGAAAAAAAAGACGAATCTCTGAATAAATTTTGAAATATCATATAATTCAGAGTTTTTACTAGTTCATTTATTTTCCCAATTATTCCAAAGATGTTTTATTATGTATATCTTTGTTATAAACAGTATCTCCAGTTTTGAAATTTTATATCAATGTCACTAAAATTACTTTCATACAATTATTTCATGGTATGTAGTGAGAAAAAAAAAACCTGTAAACATCAAATTTGACCCAATAAATTAATTGCCATAGGGTTTTCTTTTTAACCTTACCATTACAAGTTCTTCCTGTAATTCACTGCAACTTTTTTCATTATACTGAAGTCTCTTTGAAAGGTCTATAATTACTTTCTTCTGTTCCTCGATTTCTTCATTTAGTTTCTTGTTTTTGGAGAAATACTCTCTTTCTAATCTGAAAAGTTAAAGTGTCAAAGCAAGGTTTTAAAATATGCTTTTATCAAGTCCTATTATACAATGTTAACACAAGCGGCAGATGTACTATATATCACAGTTTTGTGCCCAAAGGCTTTAAAGGCCTCTTTTCATTTTTTCAAATAAAAAAGGCTGCACATTTTTAAATAAAAGACTCTATGGGAACAATGCCTCCCCCTTTTCGGTAGCAGATATTTGTACTATGTCCAAGGTTATAAGTCAAATGGATCTGGTTCGCGCTGATTTGTTATCACCATTATTTATGATAGACAAACCCCACCCACTACAGTCCAATTAGCTCAGAAACTGCCTCAAAACAGAAAGCAGTCCTAACAAACCATTTTCTAATTAAAGTATAACATTAGAAATGGCACAAATGTTTTACTCCTGAGTATCCATGCAAGTGGAACACATGTGGTGACATGGAAAATCCAAAAGCAAGAATAATCAAAAATCATTCATACTCAGCGGGGAGGGTATAGCTTAGTGGTAGAGTGTTTGCCTAGCAAGCACAAGGTCCTGTGTTCAACTGCCAATACTGTCATTTAAATAAATAAATAAAACCTAATTACTGTATTCAATGTTGTATGTCAATCATATCTCAAAAAGAAAAAAAACTGGAGGAAAAAATCATTCATATTCACTGTGAAGACATAAATTTCTTTTCAAAGGATTTGCCTTCCTATTTAAATTTTGCTAAGGCTAGCATTAAACTGTGTTTACATTCTTGCATGGACCATAAGATGAAAAGCAACTAGGAAGTACCATAGTTTAAAATTTGCTATATGGATAATTTTATTTCAATGGATTGAACATGGATAATTTTTTTAATATGGATAATTTTAATTCAAATTAAAGTGCTGCCACTATTTTTTTAATCTGACGTCTCCCTGATAAATGCAACAGACCCATTTCCTATTACTTATAAGCTGTAATACTAGAGATTTTATGACACGTATAACAAAATCTACACTATACTCAGGCTGTAATCAAATGAAGAGCTAATTTTTGAATGATACAAGATCTTATTCTGAACCGTTGACATTTCTTTTTCTAAGGTGGAACACAGACAATTCTACTGCCAACCCTTTGGTATATTCTCCGTTGAATCAAAGGTATTGTAAGGTAGAGTAGGTAAAATTTAAACATGTATAAAAGGATTAGTTACTATATCTGTATCAATCTCCCAGAAAGTAGAACTAAACAACAAAAATGGATCAAAGCAGAGAAAAGATAAGAAAGTCAATCCAGGAATCCCAACATACAAACAACAGAAGTTTCAGAAAACAGAAGGTAAAGAAAATGGAAAGGAAGAAATCAGCAAAGTAATAATAGAAGAAAATCCCAGAAATGAATTATTTGAGTTTCTAAAAAGAGCTCAATGAGTGACCATCATGAATGAAAGCAGCCCATGCCAGGCCCGTCATCGTGAAATTCCAGAACACCGGGAACAAAGAGAAGACTCCACGTTATGTCCACAGAGTTTGGAAATACATAATATGAGTATTATCATGTGTTATATTATAACACCAGTAAACCATTTCTAGATACTCGCTTATGTTTCCAGATTTGGTGGCCACTCTGTGCAAGTTTCTAGAGGAAAACATGGGCGGGCCACATTCAAAGTTTAGGAATCAAATGACTTCAGACTTCTTGACACTAGAACTGAATAAACAGCCAGCTGAACTAAGAGAAAAGGTAAAGATTAAATAAAGACATTTTTAGGATGCGAGTTTTAAAAATTTTCCTCTCATATAAATTTCTCAAGAGGCTACCTTACAAGAGAGTAAATCAAACAAGGAAGAAGGCATAAGATCAGCAAACAAGAGATTCAATGTAAAAAAGAAGTAAAGGAAATGCCAAAGATGATGGTGAAGTGAAGTCCTAGGAAGGCTGTGACAGTCTATAAAACAATTTGTCCAGAAAGGAGGAGGTCTAGAGAAGAATCCAAGAGAGGTATATCTTAGAAGATACTTAAAATGATAGAACGCCTGAGGTATAGAAACGTAAGGAGAGATTTTCAGTTGTGTTAGAGAGTTCAAGAATAACTTAGTGACTGGGACACACAAACTAACCCAACTAAAAGTGAGGTGATTATTAACTATTTATTCATTTAATAATTCAGCAAATCTTTATTTTGCAGCTCTTGTGTGCCAAGAACTATTCTAGACTTTAGAAGACAGCAATGAACAAAATAAAGTTCCTCTCCAATGAACAATAAAAAACAAAGAATATAATAAAATGTGCAATAAAGAAAAACAAAGATGAGGGACCCAAAAAAGTTGTAGAAAAAAATACCCAAAAAAGCAACCCTACTAAAACGATGGGAGAAGGAATGGAATAACTGTGCGTTGTATGGTAGAAATGTACAATGGAGATAAGTAAGTAGAGGCCAATAGGTTAACATTTAAAGGTAGAAGCAAAAAAATGGCACAAAATGCATGTTATTTAGAAATATGAAGTTAAATATCAAAAGAAACAGCTATAAGAATTAAAAGTAGTTGCCTCAAAGGAGTAGAAACTGGTCATAGAGAACAATAGGATACCAAAATGCTGTCTTTCATGAGTTTAACAGTACTATTTTACTTTTTAGACTACGTAAAAGTGTTAATTTGATTAAAATAGAATTTTAAATAAAAAATATTATTACTCAGCAAATATAAATGCACTTGTTCTTTGACGCTATTTTACAAACAAAGTCCAAATCGAGTCCACTGAAATGGGGAACATCCTTTGCCATGAGGAATCTCATGCACAACCCAAAAAAGTTGGCTCCTATGCTTCTACCAATAGTCCCACCCAAGGGCAATGGCTAAGGCAAATAAAATGAAAGTTAAAGGGAGCCCCAGTCTCTTAGAACCTAATACAAAACAGACAGAACTTGAAAGATGGAGGATTTAGGGAAAAAAGGAAAGGGAGCAGAAGGAAACTCGTAGTTAAGATGCCTTCTTTCCTACTGGATTCCTTTTTTTTAAGGACTCAGCTAAGAATCTGACAACAGTACAGCTGTTTTAACAAACAGTCTTCTCCAGGCTATCTTTTACCAAGAAAATGAACAATAACAGTGTTACAAACTATAATACTTTGGTTCTTTTTATACTCCGGGGTGATTTTTTTAAAAAATATAGAATTTCTAAATGTTGAATGTAATAAAATAAATATATTTAGATTCAGTCCATTCAATATCATATCTTTGACTAGTGTTACTTTAAATTAAATTTAAATTTAAAGCAGATTTAAAGATTACCATGATCTCCTCCCTACCACCCAACTATCAGTTACTACTGCTAGTGAAAATCTGACATACTGAAAGTTCCAAAATAAAAAGATTGAAAAGTTTTGTTCCACACTGCAAGCTTTCAATGGAAAAAAATTTATAACTAAGGAAATTTGATTACAGAAATATAGAATATATATAGTATCTAAAAGTATTGTTACATTATATAATTTGTTAAAATAGCCTGTTATTGTTCAAATTCTTAGCTGAGTTCTTTAAAAGATTATGTTTAGTATATAATAATTTTATTTATTGTATTATTATATATAACACTGAATATATAATGATATATTAAAATATATATTCTATCTAATATGTGTATTCCATCTATATATGTATACTATATATTCATCTAAAATAATTTCATGGAGGAATATTCATTGTCATGAAAGTGTTGGCTAAAACTAAAACTGAAATATATACACAGCTTTTTTCTCCTGCCTTTCAATAAGATCCTGCCTATATCTACCTGGGAGGAAACAGAAACTTGAAAACCTTAACCACCAGCAAGGTTCAGGCAGCATTTCCTCTATAATCTCATTATCTCCAGTTGCTAAATCAGTTCTATCCAACAGATAAAACAATGTCTGCTCTAAAACTCACTACTCTCAAAGTTGTAAATTAAAGGAATTATTTACCTTAAAGACCTAAAATATCAATTCTCTTTTTGAAATATATTATCCAAAACTTAGAACTACTTTGAAAAATTAATAATTGAGAGTTTGTAACTCTAAAAGATTTTAAAGAAGATTCTGAAAAAGAATCAAAGTACAGGTAGAAAATGAAATAACTTACCCAGTCACCCCTCCTGTCATTTCCTTCTCATATCACAGATAAATGGAAAGGAAGGGGTTGTCATATTACATACAATGAAAAGGAAGATGGGATGGGGGAAGAGAAGTCACAGGAACTATCAATAAGTAGTGAGCTTCAATTACTACTTAATTTTTACTATTTTTTAATTATTATTAACTGTTTTATTATTATAGCACAGTTACAAAGGGATGAAGAACAGAAAAGGGACATTATGGTAAAGTACTTAGGATTGTTGGCTGGTGCTTAGTTGGAATACATCACTAACATTTAGAATTGTTAGCCTGTGCTTATTGGAATACAAAATCTGAGTAAAATTTTTCAAGCACCAAAACAGAAACAATAGCAAAACAAATCTAAGGGAAAAAGTTTGCTTTGGGGGACAACTTAAATAGTACATAGGTTAAAATGTTACAGCTTAAATGTTAGCAGGTATCTTAAAATTCCTCTAGACCAGCCTTTGCAGGACTCGTTTCTTCTTCAGTATCCATGACAGAGAATCATCCATCCTCTGTTTTGAACTTTCCAAGTCAGGGAGTTCACTAATTTCCCAAAAAGTCTATCACTTCATTGTGGGAAAGCTTTAATTGTTGGGAGTACAGTCTGACTTCTTACAGTTTCTCTAGCAGGTCCCAATCATTACCTCAAAGCAACAGTAAAGAAGCCTGTACTATACACTACATAAAGGCCCTTCAAACATATTTATATATAAATGTGCAGATTCAAGCTATGGTTCAAAGGAAAATGAAGCATAAATCCTTAGAATAATGTTCACAGAATGTCATTTAAGTTATTCTAGAGGAAGCAAGAAAATTTGGTTAAGAATTATTCATTTAAAATATTATAAGCATTACTAAGAAAAATAATCACAGTTTAGAATTTCAAATTTTTTCAAACTTCAGCCTTTTAAGTGCCATCTTTATAACTTTGCCATACTCATATAACAAGTACTACCATTCTAAATAATACTTTTCTTTAAATTAACTCACATCATAAGTTAAATGAAGTATTTTAAAAGTAAACTTTATATTACAACTGTAAATGGAAAACCATTATGTATCATAAATAGAAATGAACATTAAAAATAAATACATAACTATAATATATGAATATATGTCACCTACCAATGCTGGTATGTGTTTCACCCTCTGAGAAGAAATGATTTAAACTGTCTACTATTGATTTATTTTTGGAAACATATTAAACAATTATAAACTTCTTAAAGCATTTCACAGAACTCTTCAGACAAAAGACATTATAACTGAAAACGGATAAAACTAGTAGGAGTTAGAAAGGTCCTGACTCTACCACTTATTAGCTGTGTGTCCTTACCCTCATTAAGCCTCGAAATTTGTAGATATTGACAGGTATATGTAGAATAGATAAACAAGATTATACTGTATAGCACAGGGAAATATATACAAGATCTTATGGTAGCTCAGAGTGAAAAAGAATGTGACAATGAATATATATGTATGTTCATGTATAACTGAAAAATTGTGCTCTGCACTGGAAATAGACACAACATTGTAAACTAACTATAACTCAATAAAAAATGTTAAAAAAATTAAAAAATAATAATTAAAAACTTTTTTAAAAATTAAAATTTAAATAAAGCCTCAATTTCCACATCTGCAAAATGGGGATAAAAAGAATAGCTATCTCATAGGGTGTTATATAAATTAAACAAAACCATGCAAAGCTAAATATGAAGTGAGTCACACGCATGCAAGCCCCTAGTTGCAGTATTACTCCTTGTATTATTTCTGCAGTTTGAGACATTCGCAAACATTAGCCATCTCCACATAGACCATTTTAATGGCCTAGAAGTCAAAGTCTTTAAAGATACTGTATTATATCAGTAACTATAACGTAAAATACATTAATATAGTTAATTTCTAGTGTAAGAAAGTATTACTGCATTTCTGAGACTCTGTGGAATAGCCATGATACTTCAAAATCCAGCAGAGTGTTTCCACATTTACCTGGTACTACACATTTATACTTATGTAGGTTTCATAAAGTCTTAATATTAATTTAGAGAATTTAACAGTAAAACACTTACAAATTTAGTTTTGTAAAGCTCTCTTGTGCATTATGCTTTTCTCGCTCATAGGCACTTTCAACTTCTTTGAATTCATTCTTGATCATTTCCAAATCAGCAACAGCTTCTGCTTGGCTGGCCTTTTCTACCTGCAAAGCTCCTTCAAGGTCTCGAATCCGTAACTACCAGATGACAGAAAAGCAATTAAACAGAGCGAGGAAATACTAGCATCAGCCTCAAACTGAGTACAGTACTTTAATAGACAGCAGATTATCATTCATCCAAACAAGTTTTTCTTTCTGTTTTTGGTTTAAAAAAGGAAAATAAACAAAAAGCAGTCTATTCCCTTCCTCAATATGATTAATGGAAGGGAGGAAGAGTGGAAGACTCACGTACGCTATGAAAAACGACAGACTGATGCAACATCATCTGTCCTACCAAAGTGCCTAATTTTGACCTGCTAACCCATTTGAACATTTCTTTCATAAACATAATAAGTTAAGTGGTTTTCGAGAACTAAAGGGAAGTATCCTTCCCCTCTTTTGAGAAACATTATTATATGAACATCTTCATAAGCTTAAGAAAGTTAAAAGATCTTTTTATTCCTAGAGATTTTTCACTGTAAAAAGTTAAAATGTTTATTATCAAATAATACTATTTGACTAAAATACTTATGGGTGTAATAATATGATATCTGGAATTTGCTTCAAAATAATTTGGGCATGGGAGACTAGAAGAGGATTAATAGATAACACACAATTGGCCTGCGGTTAAGTCTTGAAGCTGAGTGAGGGGTATATGGGTAGTTCATTTCACTATTCTCTCTACTTCTGCATAAACTGGAAACTTTACACAGTGAGACATTTTAAAAACCAGATTCCCTGTACATGCCAATAGTAGATAAACAAAGTGCGTTCCCATAAAAGAATAATTTGTGGATGTAAAAAGGCTACAAAACAACTTTCAAAAAGTAAGTTCTCTATGTGGGCCTCCATGTAGTGTCAATATATACTGAAAAGAGCAAAGTCCAGATCACTGTATACAGTATGCTATACTCTGGGTAAACAAGTGGAAAACATAAGGATATGTATAGGCAAGAGATTAGAATAACGACAGGGACAAGAGTGAAAGTAAGAGTTTTCAACTGCTTGCTTTTGTTTTCATTTTTGAAGTATGTGAATATTTTATCTTTTCAGAAAATTAAGTTAAAAATAAAAATAAGTTTGTTAAAGTTCGAAAGAAGATGGGGGTTGGAAAAAAATGCTTTACACTAGATAGAAAATGGGCTTTGGAACCATAAGACTCAGGTTTGAGTCATAATTCTTCAAATTAACTTAAGTGCCCTTAGACATATTAAACTCCCAGAGCCTAAGGCTCTTCATCGGTAAATAATAAATAATAACAACAACAATAATAATATACAGACTGTCTACAGGGTTGCTACAAAAACCTAGTGAGACAATGTGTATTTAATATTAATATGCATTTAATATTTGATAAAAATATAAAATAATTATTTAATAAGTGTTTAGATAAATATCATTAGGCACTTGATATGTGCCATGCAATGAGCTGGTGGTCAAGATACACACACTCATCGTGAAAATACACAGTCTTAGCATTTGTTAGAAGAGGACGAGTGCTTCCTGTCATAGAGGTAGATCCAAATGGCCATGAAATCAGAGAAATGCTATGAACACTGTGTGACAGAGCCTCCCAGGTATAGCAAAAGATAACCTGAGTTATGAAAAATGAACTCACCAAAAAATGCAGCCAAGGAAATAGAAAATGTTTCATAAATTAATCTATACAAATAACAAACCACCAGAATTACTATCTCTAATTATCCAAACATATTGTGGAGTAATTCAGACATTGAGATAATAATTGAAATAATGTAACTAATAATTTATTCTCTTTCACTAAAGTCAAGAAGTAGAACAGATATGTGGATACAACTTTGTAAATTTTCAAAATTGGTCTTTTAAATTTTATTTTTCTTTGTTGTTTTGTCTAAACCCAATGCTCACAAGTAAAATAATAAAGCTAGGAAACATTTTCTTTTATCTACATTGCTATTTTCTTTCAGAAAATATGCAAACTCAATCACAAATGATAAACCAATCCAACTGAAAGAAAAGCAGACTTAAAATAATCAATTCTGAGTCAACTCTCTTGAATCTATTTTCTCATTTTTATGACGCATCCTAACAAATTTAATAACAGAATATTTCAAACATATTTTTAACTACAGTTTATTATAAAATGGTGATTACAACTATTTACTAGTCTCATTTGCTTTTAAACTAGTCTGACACTGAATTTTACTAGGTGTATGTCATTGAAAATACTTGTCAGTATTTATAGATATATGACTCAAATACACACTTTTGCTTTTTTCTAAGTTACAGCACTAAGTTGAGTATCAAACATTAATTTTTAATTATATGAGCAAAAAATATACATGCAATAATTTTCATTTTATAACTACTAAGTATATATTCTCAGTATATAACTACAATGAAAAACTTAAATTTTGAATTCTACTTCTTTCATGAATTTAAAACTTCAGCTTTACTGCTTATTAATGCCATTTTAAAAAAAAGAAAAAAAGCTTAACTTAAACAAGTTTGCTTTACATATAGATGCACTCAAATACATGGGTCAGAGAATTATGTAGGTAAAAGGCATTTCATTAAAGATAAAACTGAAAATACTGTATTACAAAATTCTTGCAGACTGTTGTATCCTATATTAAGACCTGTTTAAATAATAAGGTAAAATTTGAAAATTCTACTAATTAAATTTTAATATAGCGGAAAAGTCTGAGTCTTCTTAAAATATCCAAATTTAAGTATGGAATTTGGACTTTGGAACTTTATGTAAAACTCTTTACAACAAAGGCTTGGTCCACGGTAGTAGTTTGCCAACCCCCAGTTAAAATGCCTTTGCTTCTTTTACAAATTCCTTCTCTTTCTCTAAGACCTAGGGAAAAGGACACTTTCCTCAGGATGCCTTCATTTACTTCCCCTCACAGATTAATCCTTCTCCTTATTATGCTCCCACAGTATTTAGTATTTCCTATTTCTAACTATATCTAAATATAGGTACACAGTATCTCTGGTAATAGAATGTTTAAGTCCCAGTTCGAGCTCATTCATCTTCATACTTTCAGCTCTTAATATGGTGACAGGTGATATGCACAGGATATACACTTAATCAGTGAAGGTGCATATTTTTTAAAAGTTTTCAGAAAGAAGTTCATCCTATGGATGTTGCTAAAAAGAACACTCTGATCAGCAAATCTTCCTGAAATGGGCCAGATGGCAAACATTTTGTACTCGCAGGTCATGAGGTCTCTGTCACAACTAGTCCACTTTGCCAGTGTAGCACAAAAACCACCACAGACAAGATAAAACTTCATAAGAACATGCAGTGGGTGATTCGGCCCTGGGGTGTAATGGGGCAGGTCCTCTCTAACAGAGTAAGACTACCCTCAGCTATTTCTTTAAACAGAATAACGCATGTCTTAACAATATGCTACCTATTCTAAATGCACACCTTAGTTCTCTGAACATAATCCTGTTTTTTCTAGCTTAATAAAATCCATACAAAAAAATGTATTTTCATTTTACCTGAATAATTTCAGAATTAAATTTTGATTCCAAATGTGCTGCCCTTTCTGCTTCAATATTTTCTTCTAATTTCCTCACTCTTAGTGTAGTTGCCTGAAAACAAATTAGAAGTTTAAACTCATAAGCATTGGTATTTAAATTGGGTATAGATAACTATATTGTAATGAACACTTTATATCACTGTAGCCTCATTTTTTTATTTGCAGAAGCATAGAAGTTATATTTTAAAAATCATGTAAAAAACCACGTAAAAATCATGCTTGGGAAGAATGCTCCCAAGCTTGCTTTCTCTTTCTTTTTTATTAAGGTATAATTTGCATGTAATAAATTACGTATGTTGAAAGTGTATAATTTGGTAAGTCTTGTAAATTCACAGACACAGAAAGTGTATTAGTGACTGCCAGTAGCCGGGGGCAGAAGGGAGGAATGAGCACTGACTGCTAATGGGCATAAGGCTTCTTACTGGGGTTATGAGAATGTTCTGAAATTAAATAATGGCAATGGTTTCACATCCTTGAATAGTATACTTTAAAAGGGTGAATTTTATGATAGTGAAGTATATCTCAATAAAAAATAAAAAGAATCCCTGAGTGTAAGAACCAAGGACATGGTGGTGAGGGGTATAGCTCAGTTGGTAGAGTGGGTGTTTGGCATGCATGAAGTCCTGGATTCAATCCTCAGAGCCTCTGTTAAGAAGAAGAAGAAAAAAAATCTAAAGAATCAATAATATTTCAAAGAAGTCACAGCCACCTAAGTAAAGCTTCTTGATTTCTGTCAAAAAGTTCCTCTAAATGCTGACTTTAGTCCTTAGAACAAGGGATCCCCTTGGCTACAGGGAGAAAGCATGGTACATACTAAAACAGAAAAATCCTTATGGTTTAGCCAGATTAAAATGAGCATTACCCTAGGTAGGGCCAACACTAGTGGGGGGAAAAAATTACTGTAACAACACAAGATGAAATTTCTGTCCTTGAAGAACTAAAGTCAACTTTCTCAGTACTCAAAGCACTTCTGTTAGGTTCTACAGGCCAGAAGAAGTCTAACCATTGTCAAGGAAATAACCCATAGACATTGAGAATAAAGGATCAAAACAAGCAAAAAGCTAATAAAGGGCAAGTAGAAAAACCAGTCTAACAATGTTAATATACTCTTTGAGATTCCAAAAATTATTTGCATAAGTTTATCAAAATAAGCATTATATCTTATTAAAATTAAGAATATTCAGTGATTCTATAATAAAAAATGAACAATGCAAGTCTTTTTTTCATTTTTCATGTATATGTTGTCATATTAATTATCTGATTTTCACTACAAAAATCAAGCAAATGTTTTGTTTTCTCTGCCTAAACCAAAACCGAATGGGTTGAAATAAAAAACCAGAGATCACATCTTTATTTTCACACTTTCTGGTTTTAAATGAAACGTCCAGAAGAAAACAAATTTATAAACTGTTTATTGATACTAAAATGATCAATTAATCAGTAAGGACAACAAAAAAATTTTCAACTCTTTAAACAAATTTCTTCCAAGAGTAGGTTTTGCTGATGGAAATAATTAAACTAAAGCCCTCCTAATAAATTTTGTTTTTCATCTTCTAGTCTGGTGAATTAATTCTTACATCCAGCAGAGGGTGACAGAGGAACACCAACTTGCTGTTCACAAATATTTTTCTCCAATACTGTCTACGAGAACTAGTACAACAACCATAATCTGTCTCTCATTAGTATCCAATCCTAATGTAATCTACAAAGCAAGAGCAGAAAGTGTAACAGAATTCATATTAAAATGCAAAATCCAACACAAATCCATATATACTACCAGCCAATTTAACTAGATACAAGTTTGTCTATAATACAAGGATTATACAATATGCTGTCTGTTCCCCAATACTATGAACATCAGTGTGCATTATGTAACACAAAACGATCACATTTTTTATCATTTATTAGCTGGTTGTCATGTCCTTTCCTACTGCAATACACTGCCAAGAGATTTTTATTCCAGTAAATTCTATGTGTTCGTTGTACCTAATTTTTTTTTATTTTATGATTTATATCTCATTAAACCACAATAAGCCCAATTAGATAAGAAAAATGAGTGTTCATTCTTTGAAGAAGGTAACATAGAGATGGCTGTCTCCTGTCCAACCCTTTGGTAGATGTTATTTTATGATAACACAGGCATGAGCTGCCAACTCCAATTGAGCAGCAGAACTAACCAAACAAATCCAGACCACATTTGTTCTCCACACCACGTTTGCTCCTATAACTTTCAGGGCCAAAAGTTTCACAAAAGTTATGAAAACATATGTGCACAATGAATCTGCTGAAAGACTGGGCAAAAAAACAGTTCCTATTACATCCTTTCCTCCTCAAATAGAATACACCCAGCTCAAAGGATATATGTGAACTTAAAGAATTAGTCATACAGAAAAACTTCAATATATAAAATTCACCCCACTAAAATGGACATCAAGAAAAATAGGGGAGGAAATACCACGTAAGTACATACTAATTAGAGATTTCCAGTATGTGTTACATAGTACTGTTTCCAAAACAGCTGCACAAAGTTTACTCCAGAATGTCAACAGCTGGGTAAACAGAAAGTGGTTGTTTAACTATTTTTCCAGACTTTATCACCTGATATTTCCAATTAATGAATACTCTTACAAGTAACCAATATAGTAATAATCCATCTTCAAAAAGATGATTCTAAAGGACTGAGTCATCATAGACTGATTAATTCTATAATGGTTATTTTAGTGGTAAGTATATTTTATTATATTTTAACGGCTGTAAATAATATATTATACGTGTGTTAACAATTAATTACAATACCTATTCCTTACTCATGTGGGGGTAGGGAGAAAAGAATGGTTACCGTACTTGGAGCCCTTAATCTGAAGATCTCAAAGTATTTTTTATTACTAAAAAAGAAATCTTAGAGAGTCAAAATCTCTAACTATTTGAAAAACAGAAGCACCACAATATCACAATACTTAAGTCATATGTTGAGGAGTCATAACTAAGAACATCATATAAGTCCTTTCCTATTTATCATCCTTGTTCTAATCAAAGAACTTGAAAAGTAATATTATTAATTAGTCTGACCTTTAACGTGGGCTCTTTATTTTTTAAAGTAAGCACTTACATTGCTAAGTGTCACATTTGCATGAGTGTACAGTACTTATGTTAATGTCATTGATGACATAAATCCTAAAATTGAATACTAATATTCTACAGTTTTCAAAGAAGTTTCATATGTATTTTGTCATTTGACTCAATAATATGGTACATTTTACAAAACAAGCCAATACAATATAGTACATAATATTTTAAATCTTTATAAGGCATTCTTATCTGAATATCTGGGGGTTTTAAGTAGGTCTCTTACATCACATGTAGCCAGTACACTATATAAGAAAAACAGCTCTAGTCAGCGGCAGAATTAATGCTGCTTTTGTGACTTGTAACATGGGAACTGCTGTGTAAAAGTGAACAGCTGATCTTCTGATCAAGGAACACTGATCCACTAAATTCTACCCTCACAAAAGTCCAAACATATTATAGTTATTCTCAATCTCATTAAGTGCACATCACTTTATTAAAACACGAGCTTATCAAAAACAAATGAACATGCTTGCATCTTTCCATGCTCATCTCACTGATACTTACTTTACTATGTAGGTCCACCAAAAAGGAAAACAGAATATTTAAAGAGTACCTACCACGTGCCAGATAAAAAGGAAAAGAACCTGTGTCGTAGATAAAAACTTATCTGTCTCTAACTGATGCTCCTTTTATTTCTCTGCTACAAATTACTATTTATTTGTAACTGTTTTATTAATAGCCCGATTATAACTGTTTTCCAGGATCCTTTTGATTATCTTATATAAACAGGCTCACTTAAAGCAGTCCTCACTTTAAAATAAAACAGCAGTATCAAGAAATATCCAAATGTACAAATATTCAGAGCTCTATGTACCCCCTTGACCATGATTAACTCTGCAGTTTCAGGAACCTCAAAATTAGTCACTGACTATAGCAATAATCGAAGGCTTAACAAATTCAGGATGGACATAAAAAGGCAATGAGATGATTATAGGAATAAACTGGAGAACAAAGAAACTTCTTTTATTCACAAGGATTGAAAAATAAAGTATTTCACTCAACCTGTAAAAGAGTTTAGTGGGGGAGAAAAAGATTACACATTATATATTATACTTTCAAGGTATAATAAAAGAAACCACAGACAAGGAAAATAGGAAATTTCAGGAGAAGAATTTACAGACCACAAATTCTGATTAGCATGATAATAAATTAATTTAGCATCTTTAAAATCATCTTTACCTTTTCTGGCAACAAAAAGTTCAGTATTTAACGAATATTTGAATAAACTTCCAATTTTAAAATCCATTTGAACATAAATACAAAAATATATAATACTTATAAGCATAATTGTATAACGCAGGTGATTTCATTATACATCTACTTCACAGTTGATAATCAACACAAATAGATGTTTAAAAACCATTCCTACAAACACACGATGGCTTTATAAAGATGACTCATAAGAGGTTGCTTCATGGACAATGTGAAAGGTGAGATTCATTTGTCTTCCCCTTTTCACTTAAATGTAGTATATGTGTAGAGAAAAAGGCTATATTCTACCTTTCTTTATGTTGTTATAATATAGAATAAGACTGACAGACGCAATTCAGAATTTATTTGCAAAGACTGTTTTCTCCCACTGTAATCTTCATGAAATTCTTCAGTTCTCTCAGAATTAGGTTTACATCTTCTCTTTTCTCTTTTCTTATTGAGTTAAGCTTATTTCCCATGATAAAAAGAAAAAAAAACCCTCCCCTAGTTGTAAAGAGGTTTATAAAAGCCATGGATATTTCTTTTTCCAGTTCGCTTTTCCCTTGGTTCTGTGGTATCCAGCACCACATTTACAAAATTGGATTGGGAGTTTGTTGTTTTTTTTTAATCTAAGAAACCATTGATCCATGTTAAAATGATTAAGCTACACAATGGTCTATAGTTTATCAGATTTTTTAAATTTATATATATATATATACACATACACACACA